AGACAGACAGACAGACAGACAGACAGACAGACAGACAGACAGACAGATAGTATTGCGGATAACTAGTACGATAACTAAATAGCTAACTAAATAGCTAACTAGCTGCATAGAAAGATGAATAGCCATCTATCTAGTTATAAATATCTAGCTAACTAGTTAGTCAGATAGCCAAATAACAATCTAGCTAACTAGCCAGCAAGTAGCTAGCTGTAGTTAGCCAGTTAGCTAATTGGATGGATGAATAATAAGCTAACCAGCAAAATAGCTATCTAGCTAGAATTCTGTGGTTCCCAACCGTGGTCCCTGAGGAACACCATCCTGCATGTTTTTGTTGTTTCTCTGCTCGGACGCACCTGATTTCAATGAAAGGGTGATTAACAGGCTTATGCTGAACTTAAGGAAGTAAGTAAACCACTGAATCAGGTGTGTTGGAGCAGAGAAACAACTGAAACATGCAAGATGGTGTTCCTCAGGGACCAGGGTTTGGAACCACTGAGTTAGATAATATATGTAGCCAACTAGTTAGCTAACAAGCTATTTGGCAATTAGCTATTTGATTGATAAATGGATAGATAGCTATCTTTGTATTTATTTAGCTTAACAGCTGTCTAGCTAAACATGTGTCTACCTAGATTGCATATCTAGCAAGCTAGTTAGCTAAATATTGTGTGCTACATGTGTTGTGGATGACTCTCAGCTACTACCACGTCAAATTTTAGCTCATCAGAAGTAAAACTGCCGGAGGTTTTGCCATTTCTGTCTTGGCTAATGTTGATTAGCTGTGGTAGCCTTTTTGAAATGGGTTGGGTTCAAACGTTAATCAGTTGTTGATGTATACATCCAACAATTACGTTTTGAAAGTTATATATATATATATATATATAAAAAAACAATTCGTCCAGCAGTTCATGAAATATTTTGCTAACAGACATATAAACACACATATGCAAACGCCAAAACATCATCACTCTGCCTTTGCTCTTCTGCAGCGGGTGATAATGATATATGGTGTTGTAAAGCAAATTTGTAGTTTTACTATGATGGATTACTACAGTGTTGCTTTGGCAACAGCATAGTTTACAGAGCAGTGTAGTGTGTCACAGTATATATGTTCTGCATTTAACGCTTGTTTGTGTATATGTTTATAGGCCATGAAGCCTTTTTTTCACTAGTGCTCTCCTAAATTAGTCTATAACACAGAAGAAATACAGTAGAACTGAGACAAGCAGGATATGAGGCTTGAAAACATATATTTTTTAATTAAAATATTTCAATAAATAAGTATGCACTGGTTCAGAAATATTGGTGGTATACTGTATTATTGTAAAGCTATTGTGAGAAATCTACAATATCTGCCTGTTTTTCTTCTTCATGTTGATATTAGGTTTGGTGCAGAAATGATTGACTCTCCTACTGGACAACTGACTTTACACTTCATGAATATTCCTTAATTTATACACAAAAAAGGGCTAGTTACCATTAAGGAAGGTGGCAGGCCTCGCAGCACGATTTTTCTTTACTTCAAGAAGTATCATGTTTTCTCCCCAAGTTGTTATTAATTACTATATTTAATTTCTTGAATAAACAACACTTGCTAACTAAGCAGGAAGAAGAGGATAAATTAATAAAGTCACACAGGACATAGTTTCTTATGAATGAAAGCTACAGTACAAGTCACCTTCCGATATGGCAAGGCCTTTGTGTATTTATTCAATATCACTGACAAACACAATTTTCACCCACAAGATCAACGTTAATAACACTTTTTTTGCCAACTAATGACACGTTTACCTTTTTAGTTAACTATTGTGCCCAAAATATGTTAATTATTCGACCAGTGCATCTGAAATTAAAAATGCTTGACTAGTGACTAGTTGCACTAGACAACTAGTTTGGTCTAGTAGTTCAGTAGCTCATTAAAAATCCAATAGTTGGGACTTTTAAACTACTAATGCAATAAAAAGACCAACTTATCCAACACTGAACTTAGCCAGTTTACTAGTCAACTAGTATGGACTTCTGTTAGTCACTAGTCGACCAGTAAGCATCTATATTGTGTTGACTAGTTAACACTCTATATTCATTAGTTAAATTTTATGACACAGTGGTTGACTAGCTTGGTTTACTTGTGTATAAGTATGGCTGACAAGTAAAAAATATGCAGATCTCCAACTAGTTTAATTGACTAATCAACTAATTAAATTTTTAATCTGCACTTTTGCCAAAATTTTTTTTTAAAAATTGCACAATTGACAGTCAAGGTCAAAGTATCCTGTCACGATAACAAATCTTGCTGGACGATTAACTGTCTCTGAAATTATTGCGATAAACGATAATATTGTTTGAAATTTGTCAAATTAAGAAGAAATGTTGGTTATTTGTGTGTGTAGTACCTTTTTTGATCACTGGATGGCAGTATAAGACTGTTTGAACCGAAGGATGGATAGTGAGGGAGCGAGAAGCGTGTCTCTTTAAGAAAAATGGGAGGGAGGCCCCTTGACGTGACATGGGCTGTCTCTCCTTCCTGTTTTTCATTTCTTAAAATGGTGGACGCTCGGTGTAGTTTGAGCTCTTTAGCATAGCATTTTTCACACAAAGCTTTTAATAAAAAAATCAGTAAACAAGTTCTCAGCTTATTTTTGCAGAGAAAAACAACTTTTTACACAAAGGCACGGGTTTCAACCGTGAATTTTGGAGCTTTGACAAGACGGAGGTTTTTTTCCCGAGGTCGGCCTGTTAGCTTAGCTTGTAGCTTAGCTTCTCAGTTTAGCTGCTTTTAACGATCCAAAAACGCCATTTTGGACGGTTAAAACGGATTTTAAAGAAAAAGGGAGGGGTCAGTGAAGAGCACGGGAGTTGAGCCTTTTGTCATCCAGTGTCTTCAGTAGAGAGAGAGACACGAAGAAACGATAAAGCAGATAAATGAAAATGAGGTCGATAATTTTCATTTATCATGCGATTAATTGATTTATTGTTTATCGCGACAGGCCTAGGTCAAAGTTTCTTTATTATCATTCGCATCATATGTTGTACCTGA